GAGAGAGAGAGAGCATGAGGGAGAGCGAATAAGGATGAGAAATAATTGATTCCTAATATAAAGGGATACTCATTTAATTCCTAAAGTATATATAATTGGTAAATTTATATATAGGAGGTAATTAAATTGAAACTTGAGTAGGGATGATAATAAAGTTTTCAATAGTGCATAGGTATGTAAAAATCCCATTTTTAATTACCTAGCTTCTTTTTTTTAATTTTTGGGAGGGTAATCATGAGTTTAGAATAAGTTTTTCCTCCAAACGTTTTCCCTTTAAGTTTTTTGGCAAAAATCAAAGTCTTAATTTAGAGAGATTAGAGGAGGAGAAAAAAACCCTTCCACTACATATCAAAAGAAAGCCCAAAATCGGAGTAAAGGCACTCTCTCTTTAGCTGCTTCCGCCGCATCATCACATGCCATCTTCGGCAGTTTTAGTACTCAATGTACAGTTCATACCAACATGGTGTATGAAATTTAATACCGTTGCGATCTAAGTTCCTCGCCGCCCAAAAACCTAACTGGTCAAAGGTAAGGAACTCTTCAAAATTTTCATCTTCTGGGTAGGTATTATGCATTTTGGTTCGTCGCATACTCGGTGGATTATTTGATGGTGTAATCGTCTAGGAGTTACTGTGGGTTTCCTTTATTTTTATTTTTCTGTAAAGCAAAATCCCTGGAGACCAGATCTATACAATGCGTTACCAAACCAGATCTAAATGTGGAATCTTTTTCTTCACTTGCCAAAGGTGTGCCGTCTATTTTTCTTTTGAAAGTCATAATCTCGGAGTGTCTTAGAGCACTAATTGAGTGTATTGTTTTGTAATTTATTTACTTTTCAGTTTGAGGCTAAGTTCAATTGTTTTACTTGATTATTACATGATAATGTAAGAAGCTTGGTATGTAAAAAGGAAAAAAATTCACCTTGTTTCAAATGGTCAGAGCTCTAAATTGTCGTTTTTAGCCTTTTCTTAGTCTATATAATGCTGCAGGTTTATAAGCCATGAAAATATGAGAAAGTTTTCATTGCAAAACAATCAAATCTCTTGAAATCAGAAACTGCTCTACTTGGTCTGAGTCCATCCAACAGTTGGTAGGCAGGGGACATGATGCAAACTATCTGTTTTGATGATATAGTAGTTGGTAATTTCTGGAATTTTTGTTCACTTTAGTTTCAGTTTTCTCTTTTATTTTTGTGCTATTTGTGTAATGGGTATTCTGCAATTATGACAAATACAAAGGTCTCGCTTCTACGTATGATATTGAGCAAGTATTGTTTAAGCCTTATCACTAAGTGGTATGTGCCGATGTTAGTTAATAATGTTGCTATTTTCGTTGTTTAAATCAAAGTTGCAGGAACTAACTAGTAAGAAGAGCAAGTACCCATTATCCTACCAATTGAGCATCCTCTCTTGAAGGTTAATTAGCTTATTACTGACTGCTATTTTATTCTTTAAATTGATTAAAGTCTCACCCTAAATATCAGGAGAAAACAAAGTATTATTGTCCCTTGCTACAAACGAGTAAGAAGTAATTTTTGAAAAATTTGCTTCGACTCAAAGTCTTGGCTCTTATTGTCACACTTCAAAGCAGATGTCAACTATAATGTACAACAATCCACTCTCCTGGTTCATTAAGTACTTAGAAATGCTGAATGAATCATATCTTGCATTGACAAATAGCTGAAAGATTTAAAAATAAGAAGTATAGATGTAAAGTTGTGAGAGAGATGTCTACAAGTTCTAAAATTTCAGTGTGTCCCAAAATTCATGCTGACAGTATAATTTTTGATATATAGTACATTCAAATTATCAGATGATTATTTTGTGACTTTTCAAATGGTCTTTGAGGTTCTTAAGTTGAAGAATCAAGAAAGGAATGGATTGTAAGCTAGCAAAGTTAGATATATGATGAGAACAGAAATTTTGAAGGATGTTTGTTGTTCATCCAACTCTAAGTAACTCTCTACCCCCATGGCAGGGGTAAGGTATGCGTACACATTACCCTCTCAGACTCCACTTGTAGGATTATTTTAACGACCCGATTGGTCGTTTTGAGCAATTGCGTCCGGTTCGGCAATTTGAGGTCACGAGCAGCTTCATATTATATGTATTGACTTGCGTTCATGGTTGAAATCTGTTTCCGGATGGATCGGAGTCGAATTGGAAGAAGAAATCTAGTCTTGGAAGCTTAAGCGGCGAGAATTTGACCGGAATTTGACTTTTGGGTAAACGGCTCCGGAATAAGTTTTGGATGATGTCAGTAGCTTCGTGTGGTAATTTTGGACTTAGGTGTGCGCTCGGATTTGGATTTAGAGGTCTGTAGGATAATTTGAGGCATTTCGGCGAAAGTTGGAAAAGTTGAAGTTTGAAAAATGGAGAGGTTTGACCCATAGTTGACTTTTGTGTTATCAAGGTCGGAATGAAATTTTAGAAAATGGAACAGCTCCGTTATGTCATTTGAGACTTACCTGCATAATTTGGTGTCGTTTGGAGTTGATTTGATATGGTTCGAACGCTTGGTTGCAATTCTAGAAGTTCTTGAAGTTCATAGTGATTTTCATGCGTTTTGGCATTCGATTTGTGGTTCTAGAGGTTATTTTGGTGTTTCGATCGCGCAAGCGAGTTTGTGTTATGTATTCAGACTTGTGCGGGTGTTTGGTTTGGAGCCTCGAGGGTTCAGGTGAGTTTCGGATTAGCTTCAGAGTGTTTTGTTAATCTTTATGTGTTCTGGTTCTGGTGTCATCACATTTGCGATGTTTATGTCGCAAATGCGACTATCGCAATTGCGAAGCAGCCTCGCATTTTCAAAGCTGAGCTGCTGAGGAAAGGACTCGCATTTGCGAGGAATTTGCCGCTTTTGCGAGGCTTGTTGAGCTCGCATTTGCGGACTCAGCATCGCATTTGCAATAATGGCGTGAGCTGAGTTTTTCGCATTTGTGATCTAGTGGCCGTTTTTGCGAAGATCGAGTGTTCGCATTTGCGACACTCCTATCGCAATTGTGAAGGCAGCAGGGAATTTCATTCTTTGCATTTGCAACTATATTTTATGATTATATCTTAAATTTAAAATCAAATTCATGAGAATCTAAAGGAAAATTTGGGGAAAATTGTGAAATCTTTCAAAAAAGTAAAATGATGATTTGAAGGATCAAATGGTATCAGAATTTGATAATTTTTGTATGGGTGAACTCGTAGCGGAATGAGTGTTCGGTTTTGTAAATTTTGTCTGGTTCCGAGGTGCGGACCCGGGGAGATGAGTTTTGTTGACTTTTTGCAAAATGTGTAAGAATCATAGTTTTGTTAATTGAAATTGTTTTCTCTTGTATTGTTCGATGTATTCAAGTTGTTTTTGGCTAGATTGAGCCTAGCGTTGATGAATTGGTAAAGGAAAAGCTAAATTGAGTATTGAATTGGCCGGATTAAGGTAAGTATCTTGCCTAAACTTGTGTGGGGAACTCCCTCTTAGGATTTGAGTCTTCTATGCTAATTGTAGCCTGTGCACGCGAGGTGACAAGTATGTGCTCGGACTTATTTGTGGGAAAGTTTGCCTTTAGGGTTATTAGGTCCTTATGTTCATTAAGTGGGAAGTTTTCCGGTATAATTGTGTTTCCTAATTGCTTGTTTTACCTCTATATGCTCCATACAGTGTTGTTAACTTTCCTCTAATTATTACTTGTCACTTGACCCTTAATTGCCTTAATTTGAGTAATTGTCCTCCTTATTGTTTGTTTTTCTTAATTGTAAAATTTCTCTGACCTCGTGCCTATATGCTATGTGTTTAAATTGTTGTGGTTGCCAGTGTAGTTATCACGTGCCTTATATGTTTTGTTGCTTTTGTAAAGGTTGTTGTGCTTCTTAGTTTTTCCGTGATTCTCGTGTTGTCATGTACTCATACTCTTGGTGGTATAAATCCTTGTGATTGGGTTGTTGAATTGTTGTTGTTGTTGATTTTAAATTATGTCTGGTTGTTGATATGTTGAGGAGGAATAAGGGAGAATTGATGTTGTCTGGTGGGATCGGTTGCACACCGCAACAGAAGGAATAAGGATGATATATATATATATATATATATATATATATTGAGGAGTAATAAAGGTGGACTGGTGGGATCGGGTTGCATGCCGTAATAAATATATATTATTTACTTTTATCGTAATTGTAACGGAGGATTAAGGGAGGATTGGTGGAATCGGGATGCGCGCCGCATTAATAGATATATGTGCTTATGTATTCCTCTTGACTGTACAAGTTATTCGGGGATTTTAGGATTTGGTTATAGCTGAATCTAAGAAGACCCTAGTCCATTTGTTTAAAACTTTGACGATTCGTATTTCGGGTTTCACTGAGTTTTGAGGGTCGGGTTATTGGCATTTAGTTGTTGGTTTGCCGTCATTCCTTGAATTGTTTCCCTGAAATTATTATTCTGGTGAATTAGGTTTTAAAGTAAATTTACTACGTTGAATCATTTCCTCCTGTCCTATTAGGTTATTAGTAATATCGTAATTTTAAAGTAAAGTAATTAGTACTACGTTGCTATAAATTACTTTCAAATTTGAACCCACGATGTATATATATACACCATTCAATAATTCAAATTCCTATAAATGTTATGGTGTATTTCAATTAGTTTCTCAATTTAATCTTTCCTTAACCGATGATACTGAATCTTACCTTAAATAGAATTTCTACTAGATCTTTATTGTTATTAAAATCCTATATTAAATGTAATAGTTCATTCGATGTTGTATTTTATTTAAAAAGGGTATTTTCTTTATTCATATGATTTCTAAAAATAACTTAATCTTTTCTTGTTAATTTCCTAATTGATTTAGATGTTGTAATTTACTTTATGTTATATAAATGAGACTCCTTGAACATCTTTATTGCATTGATTATGGACCCTATGTATTGAGTGGCATGCGGATGATATTGCGCAAAGTGAGATAGAGATATGTGGGCACAAGGTGCCATGTGTACTAAAGGTGTGGAACTTGATATTATAACATGAGATACCGAGGATTGAGATGGTCGGAATTGTGTATTAGAAATGATGTGATTGATTTAGTTAGCATCGACTTCTTTGTTTGAACATACTTTTACTTGTCCGTGTCCCAGTTATGTTGGTGTTAATTTACTTGATTATCGTTCGTTACAATTTGTGTTTCTCTTTATTGTCTCTACTATTTGTAGTTGGTTTTTTCTCTATTATTGATATTACTTTGTTAATATCATCTTGGTAGTTCATTATCATATCATGTTCAATTTATTTGACTAGTAGGTATCTTGACTGTTCCTCGTCACTTCTCCACCGGGGTTAGTCTTGATACTTACTGGGTACCGTCGTAGTGTGTTCATACTACACTTCTGTACATTTTTCTTGTACAGGTCCAGGTATTTGGTCGGTAGTAGCTGTGCGGATCGTCGCGGTGGAGACTCAAGGTAAACCTGCTGCTGTGTTCGTAGGCCTCGGAGTCCCCTTCATTTGAATTTATTTTTATTTGTTCCTTTTGTTCGGGAATAGTGACGTATTTATTTTGTATAACTACTCTTTGAAAGGCTTATGACTTTTACTGCTGGTTTTGGGAATTGTAAGTGTTCAGAGTTGTATCATTTGAATTTAGTGAATATTCATATTATTTCTGTTAATGTTAGGCTTACCTAGTTTAGAGACTAGGTGCCATCACGGCTCCTTCGAAGGAATTTTGGGTCGTGACAAGTTGGTATCATAGTTCTAGGTTCATAGGTGCTACGAGTCATAAGTGGGTTTCGTAGAGTCTTGCGGATTGCTCCGGAGACGTCTGTACTTATTTTCGAGAGGCTACAGAACTATCGTGCGATATTGTTTCAGCTCAAAGTATATAACTTATGTTTCTTTACATCCACTCGTGTATGATTTTACGCTCTCAGTGTCCGCTATGCGCCAGTGATTCGTGATGCTACAATCGGGCTACGAGGGAGTCAGGGATGCTCATACATTGTCTCAACGTGTTGTCCAGAATGAAGATACAGAGGTATTGAGAGACTATTCAGTGGTTCATATGGAGGCGCAGCGGTTTCAGGCATTTGGTTGATGAGTGCGAGCTTGAGAAGGTTTAATGGGTTGGCTAGTCGTCGAGTTTGTGGCAAGGTCACGAGGTGGGTGTTGACTGGGGGTAATTGGTGGTATTGGAGTACCTTGTGATTTGTGTTGTACGAGCGGTGAAGGTTAGTTTTGTGGACTATCAGATGTTGTTTTTTATGGCTTCGCGCCAAGTGGAGGAGCCCACTAGCGGCGTTCAGATTATA